AGAGGGACTAACTGAGCTCTTCTTTTGGAAGATGTGGGCTGATGGTCCATTATATAATACCCAAATCTAAGCTACAGCAGTGTTTCAACACACTTTATTTGTAAAGTGCTTCTGTGAAAACATGGGGAATCTCCTTCTCCAGACATGCCTCACATGAGAATAACTGTCACTCAACTTTCACAGTTCATAAGTTTATACGCATTAAGAACTGAGCCAAGATCAAGTCTCTGGCTGGGGAAGATAAGAGGTTTTGCCACCACAGGCATTTACTGCTGTGTGTTTGAAGACTGAAAAGAATGCAGCAGGAACAAAGCAATCAATCCCACACTTCAAAAGTCTGCTATCACTAAGAAAGAAAAAGGTTTTTAAAGAAAATATTTGGTGGCCAACTGAATACCAGGGTGACAGGATATTTTAAAAAAATCATATTGTTTGTTCCTGATGCAGTGTATTCATGGAACTTTAGGCAGAGGCTCCCTAGAAAGACTAGTTTAGGATATGAGCAAAGAAAAACAAAACCACTGGAAGACTTGAGAGAAAGCCTGAGGTGGTGTGAACCCACACTGATCGATCAGTAGGTGTCTCTCTCTCTTTTCTTTCTAGTTCCTTATTTTTCCAGTCAGCTTGGCATTTCATTTGAAATATCCATAGCTCAGCCTCACTTTACAAGGACAGTTAATATAATAATAATTTTAAAAAGGAATATATCCCAGTGGTATGTAAGAGCCTCATTAGAATGAAAAATAATGCTACCGTGTTGAAGCCCTTATATTATGAAATACTAGCTTAAAAATTGCTATGCTGAAATATCAATGCAGAATGTTTAGACACTTTCTACTTATGTATTAATATTTACTGCCCTCCTCCACCACCTAGAAACTATTAATGTAACATTCTGCAAGGCTGATCCTTATGAGAAGGTCCCAGGTTCATGCCAAGACATCCCTGAGTACTGCAGGGATGTACATGTCTGCAGTACATGCAGTACATCTGTGATTGGGCTGGCTAAAAATGGAGGTGGATGACAGCATCAAGATCTGTTGGGGTGCTGCCTCTGTTTCAATCTCAGAGAAAATAAATAAAATTAAAAAAGAAAAAAAATCTAGCTGGCATTTTGATTAAAATTAATTTGGATAGGTGAATTTTGGAAACTTGTTTCTCTTTATAGCATTTAGTCTTCATACACAAGAACATATTTCTCAATATGTTATTCATTTTTATTATTTTCTCTACAAGGTCTTGCTCAATAGCTGAATGTTAAATTTTGTTATTATAAAATATCTATTTCTTAAAATATTAATATTCTCTGTGGAGAATAAAATGGATTTTCTTTAGTAACCTACAAATAGAACTATCATCCGATCCAGCAATGCCACTCCTGGGACTCCTGCCACCCAAAGGATAGGAATACAATCAGAAAAATAATTGCACATCAATGTTTATTGCAGTATTATTCACAACTGCCAAACATGTAATCAACCCAAATGTCCAAGAACAGATGAATGGATTGAAAAAGTATGGCACATATACACTATGGAATATCACTGAGCCATATAAAACAGTGAGTTTCTGGCATTTGCTAGAAAGTGGATGAATGTGGAAGATTTAGTGCTGTGTGAAGCAAGCCAGACTATGAAAGAGAAGCATTGTACTTATGTACTTTACCCCAAATATCTGCACTCTATGATAGAAACACAGACTGGAAGGTATAAAGGCATGGAGAGCAATTGTGGATTTTAGACACAATGTGGGAGGTCAGTGGGCAGTAGAGGGCAGGAGGGAGGAAACTGAGAGGAAAAAAGAACATTTAAAAGACACAAAAGTATAAAATTGTGTTAAGGATGATCTCTATGGTAATGTCTGTCTAGACTGGTATGCAGTACAGTCATGCTGAGAAAATTCCATTTGTATGCTGCAAAGATGTATAGTGATGAAATGTAAATAAAATAAGAAAAAAAATTATTTTCCTAATTTTACGATGTGGTCTTCAAAGAGTTCACAGTAAATGCACATTATGAAAACTATGCATGGATTTCAAATTTTTTGTGCACCAAAATTTAAGAGAGATTTTTTGCTATAGGTTGTGTTGTGTGTGCTTGCTGGAGAGACAGAGACAGAAAGCAAGAAATCACCTCCTCTCCCCCAGGGGGAATGGTCATGCCTCAATCCTTTCTCCTCTATTCTCCTCTCAGGGTCTTGGACACGTATGCACCTGCGCCCGATATGAGTTTTAAGCCACCAGGTCTGGGACTCAAACTAGTTGACTATGTGGGAGTTCAGTGATGTAACAATTACGCCATCTGCTGGTATCATGCACCAAAATATTTTAATTGTGCTTTCCCTCAAACTTTGTGACATCCTCTTGTATATAAGATGCATTTAAATCACGTATGATAATCTTATGTTGGACGCTTTGGCAAATTCTGGTTAAATCTAATCATCAGTAGATTAAAAACAAAATCTTTGAATTTTTATGTTACATATTTTATCCTGGAACTTGTAAAAGATAATTAGATATGATGACAAGATGTGAACCCTTTGCAGGTCACATCACTGGCACTTAGGTTGTCAGGAAAATCATGACATATTTTTCTGTTTTTCTATGCAAAAATGCATCATGACTTTCCTGATAACATAAGTTTCATATCTTCCTTTCCACTCCTTAACATTTATTTCTTCCTCTTGTTTTACAGTAGTTCTTCTTTTACCTAAAACCTTTTTGTGTCATGTTAGATGTGTTTTCTATAAACCCCTTTCAAAAGATGTATTTTATGTTTTTTAATCTAATCTAATGCGTTTTTCAATTAGTGAGTTTAGTCCATTTATAATTATTGATTTATTTCTACCATTTTATGCTTATTTTAAGATGTTTATTTTTACTTTAAAAATGTCTTGTCTTTTGCTGATATTACATTAAATAAATCTTCATATACCTTAAAAAACAAAAACAAAAACAAAACTATTAATTTGAACACTAAAGAAAAAACTAATTTGTGGTGCCCAAATAACTGAGCTTTAACCCAGACTTAATTCTATAAGCAACCTGGAACTCAGAAAAAGTAATTATCTCCCACAATCCCCAAGTGGCTATCTGAATTATTCAAATACTGGGTTGTCAGAAAAGTCATGCTGCATTTTTGCATAGCAAAACAAAACAAAACAAAATACATGACCTACAAATAGAACTATCATCCGATCCAGCAATGCCACTCCTGGGACTCCTGCCACCCAAAGGATAGGAATACAATCAGAAAAATAATTGCACATCAATGCACTGAGCCATATAAAACAGTGAGTTTCTGGCATTTGCTAGAAAGTGGATGAATGTGGAAGATTTAGTGCTGTGTGAAGCAAGCCAGACTATGAAAGAGAAGCATTGTACTTATGTACTTTACCCCAAATATCTGCACTCTATGATAGAAACACAGACTGGAAGGTATAAAGGCATGGAGAGCAATTGTGGATTTTAGACACAATGTGGGAGGACAGTGGGCAGTAGAGGGCAGGAGGGAGGAAACTGAGAGGAAAAAAGAACATTTAAAAGACACAAAAGTATAAAATTGTGTTAAGGATGATCTCTATGGTAATGTCTGTCTAGACTGGTATGCAGTACAGTCATGCTGAGAAAATTCCATTTGTATGCTGCAAAGATGTATAGTGATGAAATGTAAATAAAATAAGAAAAAAAATTATTTTCCTAATTTTACGATGTGGTCTTCAAAGAGTTCACAGTAAATGCACATTATGAAAACTATGCATGGATTTCAAATTTTTTGTGCACCAAAATTTAAGAGAGATTTTTTGCTATAGGTTGTGTTGTGTGTGCTTGCTGGAGAGACAGAGACAGAAAGCAAGAAATCACCTCCTCTCCCCCAGGGGGAATGGTCATGCCTCAATCCTTTCTCCTCCATTCTCCTCTCAGGGTCTTGGACACGTATGCACCTGCGCCCGATATGAGTTTTAAGCCACCAGGTCTGGGACTCAAACTAGTTGACTATGTGGGAGTTCAGTGATGTAACAATTACGCCATCTGCTGGTATCATGCACCAAAATATTTTAATTGTGCTTTCCCTCAAACTTTGTGACATCCTCTTGTATATAAGATGCATTTAAATCACGTATGATAATCTTATGTTGGACGCTTTGGCAAATTCTGGTTAAATCTAATCATCAGTAGATTAAAAACAAAATCTTTGAATTTTTATGTTACATATTTTATCCTGGAACTTGTAAAAGATAATTAGATATGATGACAAGATGTGAACCCTTTGCAGGTCACATCACTGGCACTTAGGTTGTCAGGAAAATCATGACATATTTTTCTGTTTTTCTATGCAAAAATGCATCATGACTTTCCTGATAACATAAGTTTCATATCTTCCTTTCCACTCCTTAACATTTATTTCTTCCTCTTGTTTTACAGTAGTTCTTCTTTTACCTAAAACCTTTTTGTGTCATGTTAGATGTGTTTTCTATAAACCCCTTTCAAAAGATGTATTTTATGTTTTTTAATCTAATCTAATGCGTTTTTCAATTAGTGAGTTTAGTCCATTTATAATTATTGATTTATTTCTACCATTTTATGCTTATTTTAAGATGTTTATTTTTACTTTAAAAATGTCTTGTCTTTTGCTGATATTACATTAAATAAATCTTCATATACCTTAAAAAACAAAAACAAAAACAAAACTATTAATTTGAACACTAAAGAAAAAACTAATTTGTGGTGCCCAAATAACTGAGCTTTAACCCAGACTTAATTCTATAAGCAACCTGGAACTCAGAAAAAGTAATTATCTCCCACAATCCCCAAGTGGCTATCTGAATTATTCAAATACTGGGTTGTCAGAAAAGTCATGCTGCATTTTTGCATAGCAAAACAAAACAAAACAAAATACATGACTTTTCTGAAAACCCAATAGAAGGGCTTTACTTTTATACATTTCAATGCTACTCCATTAAAATTACCAAAATGGAAAACATATCAATGAGACTGTGACTCAAAGCAAAATACAGTACAAATTTATTGACTCCAATCATTCTTAGTCAAGATTTAAGCAAAGTAAATAGAGTTGGATACAAATAAGCAATGGATTAACATTAGAAACCCTACTTTGCTATGAGTTTTCAGTCCAAAGAAGCTTATTCCTAAATAAACTTAAACAATGATTTACTGTGCAAAGGCCTATGATGACAAAATATCCACAATCATAAACCACTCATTGTTTTTAACAATAAGCACATAGTCAACTAAAAACCTGAAAGTCTTAATGTCAATAAGAAATTATCACCTTTTGAAAATCAGTATTAATCAAGTATAACTGGAAAATCTGGACGGCACTAACAAATGACTAAAGCGTGCTGAGTTCAATTATTTTAAAGATTTACAGTAAAGTACTTTGGTTCCCAAAAGACTGTCTCTAAAAGGAATTTTTCAAATACCTGATAGCAACTCACATTCTCTCCCCAGTCCTGCAGAAATGCTAAAAGTTGGAGTACACACTCAGAGAGCATATGCAACATTATCCAAATGTCAAACTTCTAAAGTGCTAAAGCCACAAAAGAAAAAAACCTATATTTAAAATTTTCTAAATAATAGCCAATGTTAAAGAACATATGTTAAAGAATATGTTAGCATTATTAAAATCAATAATGCATCTCACAATTATTGCAAAAAATATCAATGAGACATCAGAGGTTGTTGACAAACTGACTTTTAACAGTCCAATAATGGTTAATCAGATTAAATGTATAAAGAAATCTGTTGGAAATGACACCTAATTATTTCTGTGCTAAGAAAATTTAAAAAATTCAACTCCCTCAAATTCCAAATTATGGTTGTACACACAAATGCACACGTCAATTAGAGGGAACAAAAGCCAACTTTAGATCTGTAATTTTTACATTTTTACCTTGCACTATCCACACACGTGGCCTGTACATGCAGCTACCCTTGCCTTGATAAAAGGGCACCTTCTTTTCCCTGTCTCACAGCTACCACTTTTATTAGCACTAACGGGGGATACAGGTGGATTCAGACAATCACCAATTAAGTGCTGAGGCATATCTTTACAAAGAAAAGACTATAAATGTTCCATTCCCCAAACCAAGATCATACATTTCCCCACAATCGCAAATAACATCATTGTTGAATTGTTAGTTGTATACTTTGGTAAAATTATTAATGCCTACCGATTGACTGGTTAATCTTGAAATACAACTGCTAAAAATGCACAGCATTTGTTACCTCCATTGCTTACTTTGAGTGATAAAAACACATTTCATGTTAAGTTTCTCCTTTCCCCACATAAAGAAAATGATTCAAAACAAGTTCTCAGATAACAAAGAATATATTAAAACATTTTACATTCTTTCTACAACTGCATAAAAAAAGCAGGCATTCTGAATACTTACAAGGAATAATGAGCTTTCTACATTTTCAAAAATTAATTACAATCAGAAAAAACATTTACAAGAATATCTTTACTAGCTAGAGTTGCAACAATGAAAGACCAACTTGTTTTACACCAAGTATTTGCTTACTGAGATAAACATTCTTAAAAAATTTACTGAATAAAGTAATGTCTTTCATTATTTTATTGGGTTGTCGGAAAAGTCATGATGTATTTTTCTGTTTTTCTATGCAAGAATGTGTCATGACTTTTCCAACGACCCAATACTTCTCAGCATCTAAAATAGTTATATAGTGGCAGGATAGTTTATCTTTTTGACCACTAAAATAAACTCTGTCAGACTAATGCTGTTAAGGTACAGTATAAAAATTAATAGAAAAACCAGAACTGCATTATAAATGTTTTTGGTTCAAAATTTTATTTGAAATCTTATATTCCTTGCCTAGACAAAAAATGTGAACTAACAAGACAAAACACTGGTAATTTTTAAAATCTAACACATATACAGAGTCTGTATTTAGATCAAAAATATTTTTTTTACTGATTATTTTTAAAAAATCTTCAAAAACGTAGCATAAAAGTTCAAGTCCTGGGATACTGAATTTACAATGCCAAGACACTAGGTATTATGGAATTATCAAAGATGCTTTAATAGCCATGGAGGTGATGACTACTCAGGAAAACTGTCTTCCTTTGAGGAAGACACTGCTAATGAGATGTTCAGAGTAAGAAATATCACTTTATACAGAAAATGAATCCAATGTGTAACAATACATCCTGATGATATTAGATCATACGCGTTAGTTTTCTTTAAACTGCATAGATTTCTTCAAGAAAATATAAAGATGGCAAGAATCAGTAACTGCAACTTAATTTTATTTTTCTTTCTTCACTGAAGTTAGAACAAAATGGGACATTAACTACTACAACACTTTGGGTTTGATATTTTTTCAAGTGAAAACAAAAGGCAAAATTTTATATATATAATTTCTATATTATATAATGTCAATTAGTATTTTATGAAAATGTTTGTATTTCAATTTAAAAAATAGCTTTCCTACCACTGGTATGTTGAAGGGTACAGAATTCTTTTCTGCTAGAGCACAAATTTAAAATTACTCCTTAATCACAGTAATTGACTTTTTTTTATTTGAAAGAATAGCTTATAAAAATTCATAAACTCAGAGTTTTAATCCATATCACTTTGTTAAAAAGATTTTATAATTTCACTATTCCTTTTATAGATCTAACTCTCCCCCCCAGTGAAATGAAAATTTTCCCTTTTGAACTATCCCACTGAATCTTAAGTAACACCCAAGGAAAAACTTTTAATTAAAACTTACACAAAAGAGAAAAAAAAGGCCCATACCCTATAGACTAAAATAAATAGCAAAAGTTAATTTTGGACCCTTAACAGTGCTTTAATACATATTTATGAAATATTAAGCACTGGCTTAGAGCAGAATGGTTTTGCTGTCGTCATTTTAACTAACATAAATCCAACAAATTCTAACAGAAATTGTCATGAAATACAGAAAGGCAGGAAAATGCATGTATATACTATTCTTGAAAAGTACGTTGAAACTGTGGAACGGTGTTTCGCCTCTGCTCTGAAGTCTCTAGAAGTAAATGTTAATTTAGAATGTTAGTGCGGCTGGACTGACTCTGAATGTTTGGAATCTATTTAAATATATGTCCTGACTTTACCTGTTATAACAATGTTAAATTCAGAATTAATGCCATATGTTCGTTTTGTTCCCAACTACACTCAAATTCGTAACAGCATGAACTAGAGGAAACCAAACATTCACAGTCCTCCAAATGTAGGTCTGAGTTGAGACCATGGTGCAGTGTACACAGAATATGGTGCAGAAGTTTTATTACAATGTTTATCGCTACGGAAGCTCTTGTAAACTTATTAGAGGACTTTCGTTAATCATGTTTTCATTTCCCAAGCCTTCCTTAGAGTTTGACCATCATTACACAAAAACACCAAGGTTTTGTTACTTTATAAAATCTAAGTGTTACTATTGCTGATTTAAACCTCTCACAATTTTTATACAAAAGAAGTTCTACATGATCACAAAATACCAAATATTTATTTTTTATCAAGTGTCAGGATAACTTATTAAAGTTGAGGTTTACCTTTTTTTTATTGCTAAAATATTCTAAGCTTTAAATTAATACTGCAAACTACTCCTCTTCTTCCTGATAAATTTTTGAACTTAAGAACATGGCTAAGATTCAACTAGAACTTAGGTGTCTCAAATAATCAAAAGAAATACTTTGATAGCATTTCACTCATTACAAATCAGTAAAAAAAAACCAGAAACCTCAATTAAATGATTATACTGACACCTCGGAATGAAGAATCATGCAAACAATTAAAATTAATCCAATTTCAACATTAATGAAATCAAGCCATCTTTTCCTGTAAGGTCCAGAATCACAATATTTTAAAATGTATTTATGAAGCTGAGTAAAGACATTATTAATAGCCATTTATCTCAAACTTAAATTCAAGCATATCAATTTCCAACTTTTATTATACTTTCTAAAAAATACTTTGTTATGACACATCTCACAATTCAGGTTGAAATCTGGAGATTGCCTCCTATTTCATAATAGGTAAGAGTGTTGGTCTTTCAATTGTGTGTTTGTTCGTGACTCCAAAGACTAAACGCAGTCTTAAATGTCCTGTGGCAAAGTTTACACATGAACTGTCTTTTAAATGTGATTGCTGAAAGAGGTGGGGCATGGTAAAACAGGGTGTCTGATTCTTGGGGTACAAACAGTTTCTCTGTGGCTGAAGTAGAGTTTTCAGACAGGCCTGTGGGGCTATCAGGCTCCAGAGGCTGGATCTTGGGCAGTGGAGGTGGTGGTGGCAGGGGTGGTGGTGAGGGAGAGTTTGTGGGCACAGGGCACACCTCGGAATCCGTATGTGCTGATCCCTCGGTGGCCTGGGACATGTGTGACTGAAAGTGACTCCAGAGCCGGAAATTGGTGCGGAAGGCCTTGTTGCACACGTGACAGATGAAGGGTTTCACAGAGCACAGCAGCTCCTGGTGACGCTCCAGCTGCTTATGCACTGTGAACATTTTCCCACACTTCTCACAGGGCCACAGACTGGTGTCCTTGCTAGGGCCTGCTTCCTTGGGAGCCACGCTGGCTTCAGGAGCCTCCTCTTCAGCCTCCTCCACAGGCTCCTCTTTGACCTGGATTTTCAGTTGCTTGGAAAGACTAAGGTCTTCAGGGAGACAAGAAGAATCTTCTGAATCAAAGTTAACTTGCTCCGAGGAATCACTGAACACATTGTCCTCTTTTGTGGTGACAACGTGGTTGACTTTATTAGGCTCAGGCTGGGGCTGGGGCCTGGAAGAACTGGTGACTTCACCATTGTGGTCCAGAGTGGGTAAGGAGAAGTTTTCAGCAGGTGCCATGCTGTTCTGGTTGTGGACTTCCACTTGGTGCCTCCAGATGCTGAAGGAGGACTTGAAGGTACGCATGCACTCAAGGCAGGTCAGCTTCTTGTACTCACATTCGTGCTCGTGCTCACGCTTTAGCTCGGGTGAGAAAAACCTGAGGCTGCAGTAAGGGCAAACAGTCGCGTTCCGGCAGAGCCGCTCGTGGCTTCCTTGTTCTAGGAGAGAAGAGAGCTTAGCATTACAGAGGCGGCACTGGTAAACCTCCTTGGTTTCAACTGGACTTGCAAGAGGGGCATGCTCTTTTGGCTTAGCAACTCTATTTACTCCAAGGGGCTTTTCTCCTGGGTGCATTTTTATGTGCTGCTTAAACTGAGAGAGAAAGCGGTATGCTTTTCCACAGTATGCACAAATGTATGCTCCTTTGGCTCGAGACCGCAAGTTCCTCTTGATGGCTTGCTGGGTTTGGGAACTACTCTGTCCCTGAAAGCCAGGCTTGCCGCGCCTTAACTTAATGATCAGGGCCTTCTTAATTTCTCTCTCTCTCACTATATCAATCAGCTTTCTTTGGAATTTTTCATCCAAAACTGCATGAGAACTAGCAGCGGGTGACGGGTTCTTCACTATGCCGTGTTGGGTCTGACAGTGTGTCCACACTTTGAAGTTGGTGTGAAACCTCTTATGACAGATGTCACAAGCGTAGGGCTTTTCTGGATTATGGTACATATTAACATGACGGTGGAGACCTGCCGTTGATCTAAAGATCTTAAGACAATGTTTGCATTTAAATTTTTTGTTTGGTCTCGTCCCCTCCAACTCACCAAATTCATCTTTATTCAAATCAGTATCTGGAAAATCTGTATCGAGGAGAGTAGGGTTTGAGTGTTCCTCAAAGTGATCTTCTGATACAGGAGACCCATGCTCATTCACCTTTAACTTCTTAAATGGCAATCTTCTGTCTGCCTGGAACCGTCTTTTTGCTGGGAGTCTGCTCATGTCTTTTTGATCTTCTGTTTTTAGGGACAGGTCTCTTGTGGTTGATGAGGAGGCTGTTGCTGCTGCATCTCCCACAGTGACTCGGATGATGTCTGAGGGATCCGACAGGGGGCTGCTGGGCTCAGTCTTTATGTGTACCTCTGTCACAGGGGAGGCACTCTCCCGATCTGTTGACTGAGAAGCACTAAAGGACCTGAGACGATGTGGTTGTAGCACTTGAGGCCTGTCATCTAGGGCTGTTTTTTCCTTACAATCTTTTAAAGATGACTTTTGAGATAAAGCACAAAACACATTTCCTGGTGTATCACTTGACCCTGAAGATGAACCCTGGGAAGACTTTAGATCTATGGAGGGCGAATAGACAGGAACCTGGCTGTCCATTGATAAGGACCGTCTGAGAAGGCTCTTGACAAGTGGACCACTTCTGTCGATGCTTTGGTTTCCAGAACCAGACACACTGGATGGGACCACCAAGCCTAACTTTGAATAGTACAACAAGTTTCTATCTTCACCTGAACCACTTCCTTTGTTAGTTTCTTTAAATAGATAGGGAGTCTCTGATGAGCTACGGAGAGACAAAACAGGGGGCCGTGGCCTTTTCAAGGCCAGCTCTATGGCTTTCCCTTTGGGAAGCTGGCTGCTCACACCTGGTTTATCGTCCACAGTGTCTCTCTCTTGAAGAGGCTTTGAAGGCAACACTGTGTTCCTTTTCCCCATGCTGCTTCTGTTGGGATCATCTAGAGTGCCAGCGTGCTCCAGAGACTTTACATATCCTCCAGTACTGTCTTTGGGCCAGCTCTTCTCAGCTGCTGACAAACCGTGGAGTGGTTCAATAGGTTTGGGAACATGTGGCTTACTGGTATTGGTCTTGACGGCAATGCTAGGAGAGGGTCGCAAAGTATGGCTTACATCAGGTTGATTTTGACTAACAGTTTTTCCTTCGTTTCTACTTTGACAAACAATGACACTTCTCTTCTGAGAACTATTTTCATCATCTTCTATGAACACTTTTTTCCTATTGGGACATGCTGGAAAGGGGGCTTGTGGTGTCCTAGAAACAATGTTAGTCAGAAAGGAAATCCCAAGGCTATAACCAAGTTCTTGCACAGCAGCGAGGCTGCTTTTCTCAACAAAGAGAGATGAAGAATAAATGTAGTTTAAAACATTATCAAAAGTATCTGGTTCACAAAAGTCAAGCTGAAATACAGTTTGTGACTCATTTTCCTTATTTGTGAATAAACTCTGAAAGTATTCACTACTGGCAGCCAAGACATTTTTATGAGCTCGAAACTTTTGGTCTCCAACAATCAGAAGCACATCACACAGTTGTCCTTTGAGGCGCTCCTCATTGAGGGCACTCAGGAGAGAAATGGCATGTGCTGGGTTGATATAATGCAGTAATCCCTCCATTGCTTGGGTTCACCTGAAAGACAAAGCATACAATGATTACGAATAATGTGGTATAAAGCCCTCCCAGTCTGAATAGTTCCTCCAGAGCAGGGAACATGAGTTGTCCTTTTACAAAGGCCAATAGTTAGCAGACTGTAGAATGATAAAAACTTTTGGATGGACAATCTTATTTATTGGGTCATTGGAAAAGTTATGATGCATTTTTGCATAGAAAAATACATCATGACTTTTACAATGATGCAATACCTGAAAACATACAATAATAAGTCTCATGGTTAATTTAAATAGGTCATCAGTCATTAAAATTGAAGACTTTTTAGAAAATAAAGACTATTCATGGGGAATCTGGTTAAAAATCTAAAACTGATTCCTTTGGTTGCTGCCCCTCTTGGGACCTCTATTAATGCTAATTCTCACTCTCAATTTGGGGTCCTGTCTCTTAAATCTCCTATACAAGCTTATCTCTTCTCGTTTAGAGGCTATAAAATTACAAATGACCATACAACTGGAATACCAACCCTTTGAGACCTCAGCTGAATCCTACTGCTTGAGTCATCTAACATCAACAACAGCTCTCTTTATGACACACCTCAGGACTATCACAACCACCTGCCCCTGCTCCCGCTCTCCCACCTTGATCATATAAGGTGAGAGTTCTGTGATCCCCAATAGGTAGAGTCAATGTCCCTTTCCTGCATGAAGCAGTTACAGAAGACAGACTATCTACTTTCAGCTCCCCAAAAAGATTTATGGGGATCATGCTTCTCAGGGGAGAAATGAGGCAGGAAAAAGCTAGCAAATGGAAGTAAATAAGGGGGCTAGAGCATATTCCTATGTGACTAGACAGAAAAAAAAAAAAAAAAACAATCAAGGCAAAATTCCCTGTCCAATGTAATGTAGGCAAGAGATTAGTGGGGGTTGTCTAGCTGACTAAGTAACATTTGAAATAGCCAATGAGATGAGAACAATCAGTGGGCCCAGCCAATGATCAATCCACATGACCTAGGTTAAAAATTATAAATCCAGCAGAATACAACTATATGAGCCTTTTTGAGCCACTCTTTTTCTGTCTGCTCAGGTTGGCTCCTATCTCTCAGAAGTGCACTTTTACTTAATAAGCTACCTTTTCCTTACACTAGAAAAGGAAAAAAAAAAAAAAAAAAAAAGACTACAGGCATGGACATGCCATCAAAAAGGCTGCTAGAACTTGGCAGGTATATATGGAAGCAATATTTGAAAATAAAAATAGGTAAGCATTTGGAAAGAGAAAAGTCATTTGCTAATTAACTACTACTGAATCAAAGTGTTTAACAAAGGTTAAAAGTGTTAAAGAATTAAAAAGTTTTTCTTCCTTATGGTACTTAACTCAATCTCTAGAACACTATTTTCTTATCAAATCACATTTTCAACAATAGCACAAAGGTAGACCAGCAGATGGCATAATTGTTACGTTACTGGACTCCCACGTAGTTGACTGTGGTTTAAGTCCCGAACCTGGCAGCTTAAAACTCACGCCAGGAGCATGTGCGTACATGCCCAAAAGCCCAAGAGGAGACTTGAGGAGACGGGACTATGGTGTGACCAAACCTCCTGGGTATGTGTGTCGGGGGTAGTGGTTTCTTGCCTTCTGTCTCTCCAGCAAGCACACATGCCCTACAGCAAAAATCTCTCTTAAACAAAACCAAAAAACTAGCACGAAGGAAACTTATGCCAGTATCTAAACTTAATTTAGGGGTCTGAACTAAGATTTCACTTGTATTCTCCTCATTCCCAAAACGAGCTACATGTCACACTTTTTCGATCCAATCAACTGTTCGTGGACATTTGGGTTGGTTCCATGTCTTAGCAATTGTGAATAATGCTGCAAAAAACATGGAGGTGCAAATATTTTTCTGACTGAGTATTTTCCTATCCTTTGGGTAGATACCCAGGAGTGAAACTGCTAGATTATATGGAAGTTCTACCTGTAGGTCTTTGAGGAACTTCCATATTTTTCTCCATAGTGACTGTACTAATTTACATCCCCACTAATAGTGTAGGAGAGTTCCCTTTTTACCTCAGCTTCACCAGCATTTATCATTCTTTACTTTTTAAATCTTAGCCATGCTGACTGGGATTAGGGGTATCTCATTGCAGTTTTGATCTGCATCTCCTTTATGATAAGAAATGTTGAGTGTTTTCTAATATGCTCTTTGGTCATTTGTATGTCTTCCTTAGACAGCTGTCTGTTCAGGGTTGGTCATTTTTTTTTTTTTTTTCGGGTGAGCTGGTTGAATTCCCTGTAAATTCTGGTTATGAGTCCCTTATCTGTGGTACAGTTTGCAAATATATTCTCCCATTCTGAGGGTTGTTGATTCACTCTAATTATTGTTTCTTTTGCTGCACAGAAGCTTTTTAACCTGATGTAATTCCACTTGTCTATTTTGGGAATTATTGCCTTGCTTTGGCGTTCCTATTTTAGAAGAAAAAGTGCAACACATATACACTACTGAAAATTATTCTGTCATAAAAAACAATGAGATCCTAGCCTTTGATAGAAAGTGGACAAATATGGAAGATTTGCTGCTAAGTGAAGCAAGCCAGACTATGAAAGAGAGGCATTGTATATCCCCACATTATACTGAATATCTATACTCTAAGGCAGAAACTGAAATATTGAACAATATAAAGTCACGGAGAACAACTGTGGATACCAGAGACAGTGTGGAAAGAGGGTAGGAAATAGCAGAGGACGAGAGGGAGGGAATCAAGGGGAAAAAAGAAAAGTAAAACAGTAAAGAAACACAAAATGGAAAATTATTTGTTGAAGATAAATGTATAGTGATATCTTTGAGCAGTATATTCTGGATGGGAAAATTCATTTTGTATGCTGTAATGATATACAATGAATGAATGTAAAATAAATTAAAACAAAACAAAAAAGTGAGATAAGTGCACTTGTTGCAGTGCTGGCTCCTCCCTGCTAGTTGACTGTTCTTGGGCATTTCTGTTAGCCTGAATGGCAGATCCTTCATGTGAAATGAGTAATTTCCTATTGCAGGGTTGTCAAAAAGATCAGACCAGCTAGCAGTAAACCCTTAATAAATGTACAATTAACTCTGTAAGTTGTAGGATTAACAAGCATTTAATTCAGTATCAAATAAAAGGGGTCTAGAGTAACCCTATCATGCTTCCAGTGACAATAAAGCCATTTTATACGGAGATAATGTCTGACTCTCCTATTTGGTCCTTCACCTAGGCTTCTGTTAATCTAACACCTTGTTTCTTTAGTTTGATTTTATAATGCGATCTTTTCCTTAAAATACTGTTATGCTGTGTATTTTGTATTTATTTAACAAAGGGCCCATGTGCTCATCAGAGACAAACAGGGAGAAGGAGAAAGTACCCTTTAACAGGGAATGGTCATGTTGCAATCCCTTCTCCATTTCTCCATCCTATCATTTCTCCACTCTGATTTTGGGCAAGTATACAGATTTGCCCAGTGTTTTTCAGAGAGAAGAAGCCAGGATTCAAACCACACAATTGATTATTAGGTCATGGGGCCAGCCTGTTATGACATTTATTTTTAGTATTAAAGTAGATTCCCTTGTAACTGAGATTTATGAAAATTTTATCATTCTATAGAGGAAGAGCTGCAGATGAATCAAACTTGGCCACAGCCCATTTTTGGTCCTCTGGTCTGAAAGGATCAGCCTTTGCTGGTCACCCCAGCCTCCAGGGTGTTCAGAAGAGCCCAGGAAGAAGAGTTTGCCAGCCACCACCTTGGGAGTGACGAAGCACTGTCTACAACATATTTATTATTATTCTGACTCCCTGTTAAGGTGCTGAGTCAACTTAACCAACTCAGAGGAATGCCTGCTTCTAGGGATGATGCCTTTAGCCTATCCACAAACAACTCCCATGGTCAAGAGTGAACCATGTTCAGTCCTGCCTATATCCTGTTTTATGAATTGGTACATTCTGTCTACTTGTGATTGCTTGACACTTACTTTCCTTTTCCTTCTCTGTTAGCCATTTTATTTTCTCCCTTATCCCTACTATACTTTCTTTATAATCATATGTTTATGTAAAAACAACAACAAACAAAAGCTTACCATTTTTTTACAGAAGTCAGTAGAAAGATAAATAAGCCTATAATGCCACATATATTGACTCAGCTTGTACTGAGTTTTTAGTACTAATAAATTTTTAAAAAGAATGACTTATCTAGGCATCAGGAGATGGTGTGATTGTCACGTCGCTGGACTGCCACATGGCCAATCCTGATTCAAGTCACGGACCTAGCAGCTTAAAACTCACGCCGGGTGTGTGTACGTGCATGCCCAAAATCCTCAGAGAAAGGAAGAGAAGGGACTGTGGTGTGGCCATCCCTCTTGGGGGGTGATTTCTCGCTTTCTGTCTTTTTGGTGAGCACATGTGCCCTATAGCAAAAATCTCTCTAAAAAAGATAGATTTAATTTTATTAATTATTATTATTATTATTAATTTGAATAGAGAGTGACAGAGAGAGAGGAGAGAGAAAGAAAGCAAGTCATCAGGTCTGGGACTCAACCTCTATATGGGAGCCCAGCACCTTAACCACCAGGTCACCTGTCAGCCCTGGTACTAACAATTTTTAAAAAAAAAAACAATTATTTTATTTTTAATTATTGTCATTATTTTATTTTATTTTATTTTTAAGTTGACCAGAGAGAGAGACAAAGAGAGAAAGAAGGAAAATGAGAAAGCAAGCTGTCAGGCCAGGGACTAGAACCATGGTCAGCCATGTGGGAGTCCAGCCGTCTTAACCACCACACCACTTGCTGGCCCCAGTACTAATAATTTTTGAGAAAGCTAGTTCAGATGTTGCCATAGGGAGAAGCAATAGAGGTAGAATCAGAAGCTTAGACTAGTACTTATCAGAAAAGGTTCTGAAAATTAATTTAGTGGTTTGAAACTAGCAATTCAAAACATAAACAAAACAATAAGGACAGTTGAAGATGTTGAAACATATCAAATGTTTTAAGACTAAGA